CTTCTCTTCCAATCCCTCCCCCTGCTCCCCAACTCGGGGCCCCAACCCCAGCGATTCCACTCCATAAATGCTTGTTGACTGACTGAGTGATTGACAGCCCGAGGCATCCCACAGACCAACTGGGTGATTCATGACCCACTCCAGTGTGTCCTTTGGCACTGTCTGGGCAGAAAGAAGAGGAGACAGATGGATGCCAACACATGGTGGGTTAAGGGAGGGGGTGGAATGGCTGGCAGGAAGCCAGGCATGCCCAAGGGTGGAGTGACTAGGAGTTAGGACATAATGCCAGGGGACAGAAGTGGAGCAGATTGCCTTGCTGTTCTCCCCAGTCAGAAGGGGAAGGGAGAGCATAAGGATCAACCTTGGGCCCTATCTCTGACTTAGGCAGAAAGCCTCCCAGAGGAGGCTTTACTGTTTGGGGCCCTGTGGGAAGGACAAGGGAGAGGGGGGAGCCCTGTGGCGTTGTCATTTGACAGAGCTCTACCTGAGAACCTGGTGTATGGGGAAAGGGCGCTGGCTCAGCGGTCATAAAGCCTGGAATCCAGTCCTGACTCTGATACTTCTTATGTCTCATTGGGCAAACCATCTCGCCTCTCTTCAGTTTTCCTCTCTATACGGTGGGGATAACAATATCGTTCAGTCGTTTGTCATGTCCAACTCTTCATGACCCATTTGGTGTTTTCTTGGCAAAAATGCTGGAGTGGTTTGCCATTTCTTTCTCCAGCTCATTTTGTAGATGAGGAAACTGAGGCAAAGAGATAAGTGACTTGTCCAGGGTCACACAGTTAGTAAGTGTCTGAGACCAGATTTGAAGTCAGAAAGAAGTCTTCAGTCTTAGCACTTTATCCACTGAACCACCTCGCTGCCCCAAAATATTATTTTGTGGGGAGTCAATTATTGGCATTCATTGAGGGAAGAGGGATGCATGTTACAAAACCTCATACTTAATATTTGGGGGCATAGATAGCGTCAGAACTGAGATTTTTCTCATAGAAATCCCATTCTTGTCACAGGGAGCAGTAGGTTTCTCAGAACAGGGCCTGGTGAGTTCCACTGTAGGCAATGGGGAGCCACAGATGGATTTGAAAGACAGGAGCAACCTGATCCTGGGAATGTTGCCCTGGAAGCCTTTGCAGGAATAGCTTCGAAGGGGCGGGAAGGGGGTGCACTGCACTGTAGGGGGAGACCTGGGTTTTTTGTCTGACTCTGCTGCTTCTTAGCTGTGTGATCACAGACCAATGCCCTCCTTTCTTTAAGTCATGGTTTTCTTGTCTGTAAAGTAAGGGATCTGCACTAGATGGCTTCAGAGGACTCTGCTAGCTCTAAATCTATGATCCTTTGAAAATCGGAGCTGTTGATTCTTCTTTTCTAAGTTCTCTTCCAGCTCTGACATTCAGAGAGACCAGTATTAAAGATTTTGAGCCTTCAGTCAACCAGGTGGCTCAATGGATAGAGCACAGGAGATATATATCTATATCTATATAGTGCTTTGCAAGCCTTAAAGCCATGTATGTTGTTGTTTGGTCATTTCTGTCACGTCCAACTCTTCATGATGCCATTTGGGGTTTTCTAGGCAAAGATACTGGAGTGGTTTGCCATTTCTTTCTCCAGCTCATTTTTCAGATGAGGAAATTGAGGCAAACAGGGTTAAGTGACTTGCCCAGGGTCACATAGCTACTAAACATCTGAGGCCGAATTTGAACTCAGGAAGAGGAGTCTTCCTGACTCCAGGTCTAGCTCTGTGTGCTCCATCTAGTTGCCCCAAGGCACTATATAGATGCCAGCTATTAGCTATTGAGGGCAACCCTATCTAGAATTGAGGATGGGGGCAGGGGAGGGAGAAGATAAGCCGATGTTCGTGAATGGTTTGGCAGAGTACGATACCCTACAGACGGCCCCCTTAAGTGGCTAACTGTCCCTTGTTGAAGATAGATCTGATCCCCCAGGAAGCATCAGTTGGGGACGTCCAGGACGGAGCATGTGGCCGTGTTCCCCCACACCCCTGACCTTTCAGAGGCACCTGTTCTTTTATCTCCCAAGGCCTCCTATCTGCCTCCATCAGGAATCAGATACCACAGTGAGGCTTGCCTGTACCTCCAGCCCTGGAGGGGCTTGTGTGGCTGAGCTCTCCTGGGGGTTGAGGAGAAGGTCTTTATTCCTGCCCAACCAGTTCCCATTCCCATCAACTAAAGTCATGCCAAGTGCTTGAAGCATCCCTTCCCTGGGCCTGGCAAGTAGCTGTTGGCTGCCATTCATCAAATCCTAGAATCTCAGCGCTCGAAGGGCTCTTGGAGAGCCAGCTATCTGCCTGATACAGGAATCCCCTCCACATGACCACTTCTCATAGTCTATTGCCTCTACTTGCACACCTTGAGTGGTAGGGAGCTCATTAACATTCTGCTTTTGGACAGTTCTAACCAAGCCGCAGTCCCCTTTATGGTTCCATTGTTCAATTCCCTCTTAGATTCCCAGATAATGATTTGCCTGCGTGGGGCGTCTTCCCAATCCGAAGGGCATTGGGAGTGGTTGCCATTGTCTTTTGTACTTTCCTAGTATGTGGGGGAAAACATTTTCTTTGTGGAAATGAGAGTTCCAGAGAAAGCTTCATCCTGCCTTTCCATCTTGATCTCACCTTCCCCTGCTTCGTACATTCTATATTAAGCCAAACTGGATTATTCTCTGTCCCCCAGTCAGGTCATTCTCATTCCCATTTCATCTTCTGTACACTTAGCTTCCCTTTGGTAGAATGCCCCTCCCCCTTAGATCTGCCTGTTGAATTCCTTCTGTCGAGAAGTTACCACTTTGATGGAGATCCCAAATCCTCCCCTACCCTAGATGTACGTATTTTGTATGTACCTTTTAAGGTATAATATTGAAGCAGTGTGTTGTAGTGGATAGAGTATTGAATTTAGAATCTAATCAACCGGGGTTCGAATCCCACATAAAACACTTAGTAGCTGTGTAAACCTTGGCAATGTGCTTTATTTCTCTGTACCTCAGTTTTGTTGTCTGTAAAATGATGAAATTGGACTCCATGACTTCCCAAGTCCTTCCGTCTCTCAATCTGTGATCCTATGAAATTATTGTCTCCCCCTCCCCCCATTAGAATGTAAGGTCCTTGAGGTCAGAGTTTTTATTATTATTATTGTTTTGCTGTTTGTATCCTCAGTGCTTATGCATACAGGAAGTGCTTAATAAATGTTTGAGTCTAGAGGTTCATTTTACAAGCCAGGAAATGTAAATCTCTAGGAGTATGACCTGTCCCAGGTCCTAAAGGTAGAATGCTGCAGAATCAGAATTTGAACACCGGCCCTCTGACTTCAAATCTAGTGCTTTTTCCATGGCACCATGAATACGTTCTCTTTCTCTCCAAATTTCCCAAGCATCTTTTGTTAAAGTCTTTCCTTTACCCCTGTCACATTCTTTTGTTTACATATTTTTTTTTTAATCTGAATACACGTTGTAGCAACTCTTTTAAATTATACGTCCTCTAGGACACAATCTGGTTTGTGCTGTTAGCTCTGAAAACATGCCCTGGCATATAGCAGGTACCTGATAAGTATTTATCCTACAGAAGTACCACTACTGATTATGCTACTCATTTCACAGATGAGAAAACCAAGCTGGCTGCAAGGTTGGGGAAAGGAAAGTACTCATCCAAGTTGATGTGTATTATTGTATGAATGACCACTTATTGGGGAGAGTAGAGAAGAGCTTCTTGCTCTGTGGTGAGCTGAACGAGATGGTTTCAGAAGTATCTTTGAAGTATGAGATTGGGTGATTCTAGGAAAAGGATTTTATTTCCTTGAGGGAGAAGAACAGGGGTGCCAGGAATGGATAGGAGGTTTCTGACCTGATCCTCCAACTTGAAGGAGAAAGAGGAAAAGGAGGAGGAGAAGAATCCTCTGTGTTTTCTGAAGAACTCTACAAACATCTCATTTTATCTTCGCAACAACCTTGGAAAATAGTTGCCATTATTATCCTCATTTTATAGATAAGGAACTGAGGCAGACTTGTTCAAAATTATACAAGCAGTAAATATCTGAAGTAAAATTTGAACTTGGGTCTTCCTAATTCCATGTCCGATACTCTATCCACTGTGTAGCCTCATTGCCAGATGCTAGCTATTCAGACAGATCCGTGATTCTGTCAGAGTGTATCCCCTCTGCTCTGAGAAGGATTCAGTTGATAATTACTGAGTTGTATCCCAGGAAATTGGGTCTCTGGAATCTCTGGGGGTCTCACTTTGAGATTTAAAGTTAGCATGATCTAGTCTGACACCCTCATTTTACAAAGGAGGAAACTGAGGCTCAGAAAATGGGAACGGAACTTGCTTAAGGTCAAGAGGCAGAGATGGCATCTGAAAATAGACCCAGTGATGCATTATGCTCTAGCCCTTAATAATAAACCCCTTAATAATGGCAGATCCAGGACTTAGTCCTGCTTCTAGGTCAACGGTTCTTCTTCTTTTTTGGGTCATGGATCCCAGGGGAAGCCTATGGACTCCTCAAAATAATGTATTTAAATGCATAAAATAAAAATACACAAGATTACAAAGGAAACTATGTTGAAATACAGTTGCCAAACTATTAAAACAAGTTCACCAATTCCTGGTTAAGAAACCCCCTGTTTTAGGCAAACCCAGCAGGGCTGCTATTCGTTTGCTCAATATCCTTCACTAGCTTTCTGTTGTCTTTGTGCTGTTTAGTCAGCAAGCATTTATTGAGTGCTCACTACGTGCCAGTTGTTTCAGCTTCCATGGTTGGCTTTTAAGCCCCTCTACTGTCTGTCTACTCTGTTCCCCACTGTGCAGCCTGTATATCTGTGGCACTCCTCTGAGATTCCATGCCTTTTCTTATGTTCCCTGCACCCCTGCCCCAACAGCCTCCTCATCCTTCAAAACCCACTGCTTTTTGCGCCATGTTAGGTTACGGTCCAACAACAAAAGTCATGGGTGGTTAGGGTGCCTAGCTGACTGTCGCTGTCCTCTTTGTCCCCAGGCTGACAGGCAGTGAGCCCCTGACCATCCTCCCACTGACGACAGAAATGGAGGAGGCTGCCACAAAGGCCCACTACAAAGTGTGTGACCGGCTCAAGCTGGAGAAGAAGCAGAGACGCATGTGCCGGCGGGATCCAGGTGTGGCCGAGACACTCATGGAGGCCATCAGCATGAGTGCCCTGGAGTGCCAGTACCAGTTCCGCTTTGAGCGCTGGAACTGTACTCTGGAGGGTCGATATCGGGCCAGCCTGCTGAAGAGAGGTCAGTCTTTGCAGCTAAGCCACCAAGGCTGGGAGAGGAGGATGAGACTGAAGGAGGAAGGAAGGGCAGGATGCTTAGGTGGGAGGGGCACTGACCTGCTTGGATGAGCTTGGGCAAGCTGTGTGACCCTAGTTCCCAGCTTCCCCACCTATAAAACTGGGCATTGGTGGGGGCTTGAGGTGGGAGACTGAGTAGGTTTCCAGGATCCCTAAGGGCCTTGAGATTCTCTGTTCTGAGGTCCCTCCCAGCTCTGATTTCCTAGGGTTCAGTAGGGGTTAGAAGGGCGTCTGTACTCTGTCCATGAGGTATAAAGGACTGCTAATAGCTGTGTGAGTCTATGGCTTCCTTTCCTCAGATCTGGCTTTGAGGGTGGGGACAGTGATAAAGCCAGAAGGCACTAAGCACCTGAGATGGGGAGATGGGGCGGGGGAAAGATGTGTGTGGACCTCCAAGAGCCTAGGCACAGGGAAGGCCAACTTGGCTCTCTCTGCCATTTTGCTAGTTAGGGCTGGCCCTGTCTATAGTTATAGGATCCATCCGTCCTTCCATACTGTTTTTTTTTTTAAGTTTCTCCTGGCACCCGGGCTTAGAGTTGAGGTTGATAGTTAGAGTAAGCAGAAGTTACTTCATAAGATTTTTTTGGGGGGGTGGTTAGGAGGGCGTGTGGTGTGAGGCTGGTTAGGGAGACTTGGGAATTGATCCCAGCCGCAGGGCTGGTGCCTCACGGCTGGCAGGCTGGGGGAGGCACCCGGGGTTAGAATGGCTGCATTGATTGGGAGCTTATTATCTTGTTACAGAATATCTCATGCAATCAAATAGCGCCCAGTGGAGACAGTTTGGGCACTGGCGAGAACCCAGGGCCGTGTGTGTGTGTGTGTGTGTGTGTGTGTGTGTGTGTGCGCGCGCGTGCCCACTCTGGGGGTGGGGGGGGTTGGGGA